TTCATGTGGATCTGATATTTCTCTATATACTTTTTTCAGACATTTTTACTAGTATGAGATTATTTGCATTCAATTTTTATAAAGTGATGAATGCTCTCTCTGTTCATAGCAGTAAATGGGAGTTTGTTAAGGGTACTCAGGTACCTGGTCTTTGTGCTGGGAGTTCCAAAAATACCTCTGAAACTCCAGTGAACTCTGCATTAAAAGAAGGAATATCAAGAATGGATGTCTTCAGGAGAATATAGTTTTTTAAAAATAATTTTTCCAGAACATTTTTGTTCATTTTAATGAACCATGAGATGAGGAAAAAAATATTTTTTGACAAATGATGTTCCTCAGGAGTTGGATTTGGGACTGGTGCTGTTTACCAGCTCTGTCAGTGCCATGGACAGCGGGGTTGAGGGCACCGAGCTGCGTGGTGTGGTTCCCATGCTCGAGGGAAGGGATGCCATCCAGAGGGACCTGACAGGCTCTGTGGGAATGCTGGGCCTGCACAAGAGGAATAAAAGCCCGTCTCCCGTGTCTGTGCTCATTCCCTCTGGATTGTATCATATCTGTACATCCAGAGAGCCCAGCTTTAGAGGCAGTGAGGAGAGCAGCAGAAGTCCTGCAGTGGGAAGCTGTTGGCTCCTCCCAGTGTGAAGGGCAGAGACCACAAGAGAGGAGTTCTGAACACTTTTAGTGCAGGCAGCAGCAGGGACTGGGTAGCTCTAACAGATGAGCAGGACTTACAGGGAGAAGAGCAGCAGCAGGAGAAAGAAGACACTAGTTTGGGAGATAAATAATGTTGGACAAATCATTTGTTGCTCTGTGCCTGTAAGGCAGGAGAAATAATAGACTCCTTTGAAATACTGTCTCCTTTGCCATGTGGCAGCAAAGTCACTTTTCTCTTTCTCTTGCCTTTCTTTTCCTCTGTGATGTTGTTTACTCAACTTGAAATCCAAGGAAGAGATGTGCGGGATGCTACAAGGATGGGAAATTCTGCCTCTGCTCCCTCAAGGCTCTGGGCTGGAATTTTAAGCCCAATGTTTATTATCATTTTATTAGCCCAAATCTAATACGTCATTTAGTGTTTCTGGAAAGAATGACTACATGAAGAACTGCTTGGCATTGCAGGCTTTTAAAGGTTAAATGTCAAATTCGGAGCAGTCTTCAGAGATGTAGTTTTGTGCCATGGAAGACAGTCTTAAATACCTATCATCTATATTTTCAGGAGATACTTGTGGTAAATTGACTGCATTCTGAAAGTTGATTTGTATTGGCAGTCTTGGAGTGCTGGAGAGACAAGGTCTGCTCTTTTTAAGTGTAGAGTAATACTGAGAAAGTTCCCTATCCAGGGGATGTAATTTCATTTAAAAACACCAGTCTTGGAGCATCATGCATTTTTAAATCAAAATTCTTCCAAATGCAGGCATCTCTTAAATACTGTGGTTATATATTCTTTACATTATAAATGATTGAAGGCAGAAATGATCTTAACTTTAGACATCAAAATTCAGGCATCTAATCTAATCTGTTTTTCCCTTGCTGCAGTCCCAGCCTCATAGGTTCTTCTTCCACTTTTCCCCATGGCAGCAAACCTCAGGGCAAAGATATTGCTTTTAAATCCTGTCTGAGGCAGGATACTGGAAGAGGAGGTTATTAAGATCTCTTCAAACACACCATGGCCACATGGGACCATTGGATCATCGGGTTCCGTTTACAAAGCACAGTTGTTGTTTTTTTCAGCTTATTCTCAGAATAAGAGACAGCCAAGACCAGATTCGAACTGGGGTATGAAAACAACGACTGTTCTGTTAAACTGACTGCAAGGATGCCACAAAAAACTGAAAACTGAGTTAACAATGTGTCTCGTCTAGTCCTTTGAGACTGGTTTTTAAATAGAAGAAGAAGACTGCATAAGATTGAGTTATCGTGGATATAAACAACATGCTTTCTCTCATTTCAAACAGAATCAAAGAAGTTATCTTTTTGAAGGTGATTTGCAAGTATAACTCATTATTCTATTCACAGTTTCTGCTATGATAAATACATGTCTTTGGACAATACAGGGCATACTGTATTCTGCTTCCTGATATTCTTGTTTGTTTAAAAAATGCCTTTTCCCAGGCAGTAAATCTTGCCATACCAATATAATCTGCAGTCTAGAACCTTGTTGCTTTAAGATGGTTAAACAGTTGTCATAAAATATATAGAGATTTTCTCTACAATTAAAGAAAAATTAGTACAATGAAAAACAATTTTACCTCTTCATAACAGCTTCCCAAGTGAAAGCTCGTTCTGCACATACCTGTTTTAAAAATACAGTGGTATTTTCAGTTGTTGTGTGGCACAATGTGACAGAAATATGCTGTCTTTTGCTCTTAAACCTTGTCATGCCATGGCTTTTTATAAAATCCTACTGAAGTTGGTTGTGTTTTTAAAAAAGAGTATTAGTTACCAGCCATCTGCAAGCATGGCTTCAGAGGTGTGCATGGTTGTCAGGAACTCCTAACTATTAGTCAGTTAGACAGACTAGCATGATTTTCTGCTGCAACACCTCTGGTGAGATCTCTAGAGAGAAATCCTTGTTGATTCTGATCTTGGTAGAGCATCCTGGAACTGTGTCATGCTGTATTGGGGAGACATCCATATCTACAAATGGATTCTTCAGTGTTGCACCTGCAATATAAACAAAAGCATCTTATGTGTTCGTCTGTTTATTTCAGGTTTTTATTTAAAATACATTGCTGAGTGAATGAGGGAAAATAACTAAAACCAGAAATAAAAACTGGCTACCACCAGAATGCAACCGGGGTCAGATTAGCAATGACACAAGAATTTCCTGTTTTGTTGATTCAAATAGTGTTTCAGTCAGAGAACACTGCAGTGCTTAGCATCAAAATCCATCTCTTCTTTGAGCTCCAGTAAATCTGTTACCTTAATGCTCATTAAATATCTGCTGCTGTAGCACACACTGAGAATACTCTCAGAGAGCAGCGGGTGCAAATGCTGTGAACAGTGTCAGGGCCTTGTGTTATGGCACAAGAAATTAGAGTGCCCCCCTCCTCAGCCAGATGCTCTCACTCTCATTTTGTCCTGGTTTCAAAGTTCGTCTCACGAGCCCCAGTGTAGTTGCACTGCAGCCTTCTAAGCTGCAGGGGCTCTTTGTGCCCCTTCTGTGCTGGTGAGGACAAACAAGTCTAGAGTACCTTGTCAACTTTGTCCCATATTCCATCTACCTGCAAGTGTCTTTTTAGCAGGAGTTTTGTCATTAAGCTTCTGAATTTCCATGAGATAAGTAAAGCAATCCCCAGAGCCCTCACCACTCCTAAAAATGTAGTTGTATTTTTTTCACGATTCTGTCGAGTGATGCAGCACAATAGTTTCCCAGACTTTTTGCAGAGGAACCTCACCTTGAGGAGTTGAAGGTGGAGATCTGCAGTCAGTTCTGTTTGGCTTTAGTATTCCCCCAGCAACTGCAGCTTTCCCATTGTCCCCTCTACCCAGCCCAGACCTCCCACAATTCCCTTTCTTTGTTGCTGTCCTGTTCCCTTCCTGTGGCATCTCAGTCTCTGCTGCTGGCTCAGACAGCAGTGTCACTGAAACATAGCAAATAGATTTGGACAGAGCAATCTGTTTCCCTTTGGTGTCATTTATGTGTCCTCTTCCATGCAAAGTCCTTTCCTAGAGCTCATCTAAGTGACTCACTTCATGGGTTGGAAGGCACTAATGTAAAGAAGCACAGGATTACATGTTGAGGGAGGTAGTAGAGGAAAAATTATGCCTGCTTTTCCCCCAGACAGTTCTTGCTGAGGACCTGCCTTAGGTACTCCTAAAAAGTGTTATCAGATAAGCTGAGATGAACCTCTCTGGTGTATTGAGATTACAGGTTCTTGTAGATGCAATTCAGAGTGTGGCTTTTGCTGCACTCTCGATTCCCTTGTGCCAGCTGGTAACCTCTGCCCATTGTGAGGAGCAGGCAGCAGGGCTGTGACTGGGCAGGCAGAGGAGGGGGGCAAACACCTGATGGATGGGACAGGGCATCCCCGGGAGGGGACCTGGTCACCAAAGTCGCTTGTGTATCAGCAGGATCTCGCTCTTACCTTGTTCTCAGTGAAAGCTCTGAAGAAAGGATGCACAACAAGGCTTAGAAATTCAAGTGATAAAAGTCACTTGAAAGTGACTTTTAAGAAGTAAAAGATAAACCCAGAAAAATCTTCAAATGTGCTTATAGATGGCTTACTTAAGTAAAAAATTGTCAATGCCCTCTTACTATTTCTATTTACATTTCATGTAATTGGAAATGTAAGTGGAAGACACCTCTGCACTCCTGCAATACTCGAGTGGTTTTTGTTGCTCAGACACTGATGCTTTGGGTCTCCTGTACACAACCAGCCTGTCAGTGTCCCTAGGCAGTAGCAGAAATGGCTCCCTAGTTTGTGCCCATGATCCAGCTGCTGAGAATATCTGCATTCCTGCCTGCTCCACCGACCCAGGCACGCCTCCCAATCAGGGAGGAGGCCTAATCCTTTGAGAATCCCAAACACAAATACTGCAGCAGTATTTGGCAGGCCAGCACAGGAATTTGTGATATTCATGAACTTGCTACAGTTTATTTTCCTTGATCTGGAGGCTGTTTTTCCAGGGGTTAGAAGGGACTGATGGACCAGTTTGGGCCTTCTGCAGTGCCGCCAGGAGCTGTGGATCGTGTCCCTTTCCGACGCTCCACGGATTTTCCCTGCGGAGCCCAAGCCCAGCACTGCCGGGGGAGCACTGACACCTCGCGGCCGAGCTCCGGCTGTGGGCCCTGAGTACGTCCCCTCTGTGGCTCTGCTGGAGCAGCCTCAGGCTGTGGGGTCCGAGCTGCAGAATTTTTACATAATAGATGTATTTTGTGGTTGGGCTTTGTAGCCAGGGTTGATGAGGCCAGGTCACCTACAGTGAGGAGTTTATCGAGTTGACTCCCAAGTTGTGTCGTGCCTAAGATTTTTTGCTAAGAAGCTCAGTTTCTTTGCTGTGCCCAAGTCATTCAGGATGCTTGCCAAAAATGAGAGTTTCGGCACCTGAAAATCCCCATGTAACCTGAATGTTGGCAGTTCCTGAAAAAAAGCAAAGAGGTTTAGAATGTGTCTGGAAAAAAATGATATGAAAAGCTGCTCGGTGTAAAGGTCTTATGCAATTGTTTGGATTGCTGTGCTTCTTTCTGTTGAATGTACACTGCAAGCTCCCAGTCTGTGCCGTCCTCAGAGAGGTGTTTCTGTCAGTTTTTTGAAGTAACATAGTTTGCAGTTCTCTAAAGCCCCATCTGCGGTGAAAAATCACACCCAAGCCCTGGAGAAATAAATGTTCTATCCAGTTTGCAGTGAGGTAAGGAAAAGACTCAGGGTGGTGATGTGCTTATTCAAAACACTCCATGTCAGCATCAGAGTCGGTAACAGGACAGGGAAGTTTTTAAGGTGTGTTCCCTGCTCCGGGCCCTGGAACTTGCTGTTTGACAGCCCAGAGGACAAGGTCAGGGAACAGTACAGTGGCTCTGGTAGCAATTATGAGAAATGTCCACGGTGCAGATCTTACCTGATGATCTGAATTGCTGTGAACCCTAAACTGTGCCTGTAACCACTGAAAATATGAAAACCCCTGTGAGCACGTCGGCCCTCACAAGGCTCCAGAAAGGATGCAGACAGCACAGCATTCCAGTATTCACGCGTCCTGTTCGCAGCCTTGTCACCGGGCACGGCCTGCCCTGTACACCGGCCTGGCCTCAGGCAGTCCAAGGGAAGGGCTTTAATGCTGTATTCCCTGTGCGGGTGGCTCATTCCGTGTGCTGGAGCCGGCGAGCACGAGGCGGCAGCAGAGCAGCGGGAGCGGGCGGCGGGAGAAGGGAGGGTTGCAGCGGGAGAAGGGAGGGTTGCAGCGGGCTGAGAGGTGGGGCTGGGAGCGGGATTTTCGGGTCCTGACAGTGTGCCCGGCAGTGCAGGAGAGCTCTGCAGCCTTCATTCCTGAGGCCGTAATCCTTCCTAAGTCCAGTTCTTTTGTAGAATATCTGACATTTTAGAATTTCCTAGGCAGCAGCTCAGTCATTTCATCTGCAGATTTCCTGGAATTTATAGGTGAAGTCTTTAGTGGCATTATTTAATTACTCAATTCCTGAGCAGCTCCCCTTTTACAATGCAGTTTTCATGATATCTCAGCTCTACCTGCAAATTAAAACTGTGAAATAGACTCAGTGATTTCCCAGTTCTCAGTTCCTTCCTCCTACAATCAGGTCTGATGATTTTTTTTTGTGGTGTAACTTTTTCTTTTATCAATTGAATTGCTAACCCTTGTTGTACACGCTTTGAATTTTTCAGTTATTTTTCATCATACCTAAAGAACATATTTCAATCTTTTGTTGGCTGCAGCAGAACACTGGCCCTTTAAGGCCAGAGGGGATGTTTTGCAAGATCAGTTGCTCATGTGCCTAAGGAAATCTATTTAAAAAATATTTGATGTAGCCTTTGCTAGAGAGAAGAGTGTCTTGGGAGTTATTAATGTCAGGGGCAAGTTAGAATGTAGGGCCACTGTCCCCTTAAGGGCCTGGGATGAAGAATCCTGCATTATAAGGTTTCTCCTTCTCTCATCTGGGACAAAGATATGCCTGTTATCTCAGCCTCAGAATTGAGAGTGATTAGATGAGTGAAGCTGACCATGTATCTGATGGAAGATTGGCCTAAAATGGACTCTCCAAGCTAAGAGAAAAGCCCTCTGCAGTTGAAAGGGAACAGCAGGAGGAGATTCGAAGTCAAGGAAGTCTGGACTGGAAGCTTATTATCACCATCAGTTAAGAGATCAATAGACCTCTATGCCTGCCCTCCCCACTCCCTAAAAAAACAAACAAAAAAAGAAAGCTGATTAGCTTAATTGAAGTAGTCACTGGGAATGGGAAATTGAGACAAGCTCTTTGCAGGAGCTGTTTCTACCATGAGGGAATGCCCTGAAGCATTCTTTGTCTAGCTTGGCGATTGAACTGCTCATAATAACCTTGATACCAAGGTTATTTATTAGCTCTGCTATCACACAAAGCTAATTGCTCCAGCTGCTGTGTAGGTTGGAAGTTAGCTGGGAATTTTCTGAAGGAATGATTTTCAGATGGAGAATACAGTAATTTTTGAAAGTTTAAATATTACTTGTGAAAATTCAGTTTTATTGGAATAATAAAAAAATGCTTCCAGAAAAATAAGAAAACCACCTCACTACCTAGAGTATTTGACAGTAGAACTGAATTGATCATAAGCAACAAGCACAGAATAGGCAGATAATCCACCTCAGTGATCTGGGATATTCAGAAACTCCCTTTCCCTGACAAACCTTAGTTTTAAAAAACTGTAATTGTGAATTGGCCTGATTTTTTAAAAAGTGGAGGGTTTTCATTTCCGAGTCACCTCTGTTTCGGGGCATGTTATCGTTTCAGAACAGAGCCTTGAGCACACTACTGCACACTAACAGAAATAAGTACCGTGATTTCTATTCAGAAACACATTTTGTAGGAAATTCCCAGTACTTCTGGTAATAGTGGGTCTGATTTCAGCCCTGCTGAAGGCTGACCACCCACATGCACTGCAGCTGTGCTGGTGCCTTGTGAGTTCAGAGGATCTCTGTGCAGGGGCCAAAGGACCTTGATGCTGCAATATTACATCTCT